AGAGGTCATTAAAACTGTACCAATTTTTGAACCAGCTCTGAGGTTGAAGGAGTTAATGATTTGGAAGACAAGAGATAATTTTTGGGGGGAAGGGGAGAGGTTTTTGCTATAGGGCGTGTACACTCGCCAGAAAGACAGAGAGACAGACAGACAGCGAGAAATCATGGGCGGGGGAGGACATGCCGCAATCCCTTCTCCTCTGGGGATCTTGGGCACGCACGCACTCATGCACACATGCCCGGCGTTGAGTTTAAGCCACCAGGTCTGGGGCTCAAACCTTGGTCGACTACATGGGAGTCCAGCAACATAACACAGGCATTATGCCAACTGCTGGTCCCAACAAGAGATAATTTTTCAACATACTTTATGGAAAGTTTGTATGAAAGACAAACACAACAAGAAAAACTAAGGAACAAAATCTCTATAGTGGGTTACCAGAAAACTAGACTAAGAGGTTTGACTCTGTCCCAATGTAGCTAACCTCTTTTTTCTGGGACTTTTCCTATCTGAAAATCATCAAAGGACAATATCCTTTTGAACTTTTCAGCAAAGATCATAATGTCTTTTCTTATGACATCTAAAGTACTTCATGATCAGTCAAGATATTTTATCCAGTATCTGAATTTGGTGATGGGGGAGTGGGATTCAAAGCCAAAATGCAAAGAATTATGCAGTTATGGAACAAGGAAAACATTTTACACAGAGAACAGAGCTTCTTCAACCCCTCCAACTCAATAACCTGAGCAGCATCTTCTTTAAAAACTAATTATACACATCAGAAATTTTCTTGCTTCTATTTGTCTACAATAGCTCTAAAAACCACCACCTTTTTTTTTTGGGGGGGGGGGTGGCAGTGGAGGGACAGAAAGTGAATAAACAGGAATCAGGTAGAAATTTTCAACTCAACACTGGGATAAAATTTACAGTCTACAAAGTTCTAAATTTATGGAAATTATCCAAAGCAAAAATTTTCCCAATTTTTCAAGTGAATGTGATTTAGGTAGTACCAGAGGTAAAAATACAGCACATTAGTTAGTGTGGAAGAAACACTAATTAAGAAGAACATGCAGCGATATCTTGGTGATTTTTATTTCATAATAAAGAAAACTCTGCGATCACAGAAATAATCACAAAAATAAAATATATTTATCAACAAGTCTAGAAATTTACTCTAATACTTGAGAATATCAACTTAACAGAGTAGTTAGGTGAATGTGTGCATTTTTAAGTCTTTCTTATCCTTCTTTAAAAAGCTGGTATCCTCTTTCTTGAGACTGGCAGAGGGAAGGACAGAACTACTTTAGGTGTCACCCAGGAAAGGGATAGTGTTTCTTCCCATCTACCTGCCACCCTGCACACATACTCAAACATACACTTTTTATCTTCTATCTTCAAAGCCTTAGGGTACCTAAGCATGGTGAGGGAGCAACTTTCCCAGTTGTCCACGACACCTCTATAAGTGTTAGAGACTTAAAAGTTTATCACAGAATGGGCAAGAAAGAAACATCTGGTATTAATGAAAATTTCTACACTTAATTATGCTGATGGCCGTACAACTTTTTAAAATGACAAGCCACTGAACTACATACTTACAATGGGTAAATGGTGTAGTATATAAGGCAAATCTTAGTATGCTTTTTAAAAAATAGCCAGTTGGGCCAACCTGTAGCTTGGTGTTTAAGGTAGCTGGATCCCAAACGGCCAACTGTGTGGTTCAAATCCCGGACCTAGTGGCTAGAGAAATAAACTGAGCACATGTGCATGCATGCCCAAAATCTCCAAAGGTGAGAGAAATGGAAGAGAAGGGATTTGTACAAGACCATTCTCCATGAGGGTGAGGAAGAGGGTACCTTCTCACTTTCTCCAGCTACAAGTACCCAGGCCCTCTGGCAAATTTTGAAAAAATCAAAAATTAAAATAATCAGCAAGGTGATGGAATGGGACAAGACATTGGAAAAAGTGTATCAAAGAACCAAAGAGACCCAACACATAATTGATAACCCATCTAAAATATAAATCTCCATGCCCCCTGAACTTCAAATAGCCTATTTAAGTGTCCCATACTTCTTCCCTTAACATATATATGCCTTAGGCTCTTCTGACCTTCCTTCCATTCTGCTCTATGTTGCTTCAAAAAGAACTAATTCCCAATCACTTTGGATTCCACCTGCAGAATTAAATATATCTGATACATACGGTGAAAAGTTGACAGATGAGTTTACAGCTGTCAATACCCCTTGTCCAAAAGAAATAGGGGGCAGCGGAGTTTTTGAGCTGATTTGCCAGCCAGACTGCTCTGATTTCCACAGTACTTTACTCCTCTATCAAAGCCTCTATAACTTAAGATCATGGTCATTCAGATACAAGTCATTACCAACCTTTTAACAATCCAACCTCCCCCGCCCAGTGCCTTCTGTAATACCATTCACATCCTAGGAATTTAATAAATGTTCTTTGGTTAGATAAATGGCAATATTTTCCTAATCACATTGAGGACTATCAATTCTACCCTCTGTGTTCAACTGGATTACCACTAACTTAAACCCCGTTTCCTTGGCTGACTGGTACAAGATGACTGAAAATAACAAGAATTATCAAAAACTCCAAAATAACCACTAGCTAGACAACCAGCTTTAGCTGTTATAATGCAAAACATCAGCCCAAAGCAATAAAACCTGATTTATGCACCAGTCAACCAAATTTTTCTAGAATCACAAATTTTTGCCTATTACCCAGCATCCAAAGATCAAGAAGTCTTCCACTGCCATCAATTATCAAATTTGATTAATACAAAACAGAAAATGTCAAGTTCACATTACGATTAAAAAAAAAGGGCAAAGAAAAATCATAGCAATAACCAATGTCATAGAGAAATTAATCAACAATTAACAAACACACTAAGTAGAAACCTGTCAAACTGACTTCACACTAAGTCCTGTTCTTGGCAGATGAAAGCCAAAATGCTACTTAATAATGACATCTAAACCAATCAAAACACCAAAACACTGACAATAAGCAAAAATAAAACAAATTGTGGCCAGGTAAGAGTATCAGAAATTGGTAAGGACTTAACTCCTCGAATGTGCAGTTTAAGAACATTTTAAGAACTGAACGACACATATCAAAAAATTTCACAAACCTCCTTAATGACAGTAAATAGGTATATTGTTCCTGAATGCTTTAAAGTATCTTAATTATTAATAATTTAATATATTTGTTTAAAAGTTGATTCTTATCATTTGTGGCTCTGAAAGAACTTTCAAACACACATTATCGTTCTTAAAGTCTAAACCCCAAACCTGCATGCTTCCAAAAAGTTGATGAGTCAAGTTTTCAAAATATACGTAGAAACTGAAATGCATTTCATTATGAGATAATTATTCCCAGCAATAAATCAGATGTAAATTTTTGAATCTGGTTTTAAGTTTCTCTTCACCAGTAAGGTTCTCAAGTTCGTAGGAGTTTCCTAGTCATTTACTAGAACATCATCTACGGTAATACTCAAAGCAAAACCACAATAAAAGGATTTGGCCTCTGAGGGATTCTACATGTAAAAAACATTACTCATAAATAGTATACAATCACTATTGCTTTAAATAACAAATGTATTTCTAAACTTTTATGCCATTTGATGGAATTCCCTATTTTAGACAGTAAAACAAAACCTATGAAAGAAACATCCAACGCATACTTTTTATCTTAACTGAATGTACACAATGATAATAGAAAAAGTTGACATAAATTTACTTATGGGAACATTTTTAGTCCATGAGCACTTTCATTCAAAGATCTCCTTAAAGAGTTAGTGGAATTCACAGAACTGTTCTACCAGTAATTGGACCAATTTAATTCCAGAGTTATTCTTTAAGGTTGCCCAATACCTATTTAATTCCAGGTATAAATAAAGCAGTCAAATCTTAACATGACACATTTATTTAGTCAACAAACAATATCCAGTTGGACCAGTGCAGTACTACTACACAGTAATATTAGAATGCTACCGATTCAAAAACATGTACCTGATGAAATGAGACTTTTGGCTATCAACTTTCCGGCTGTCAACCTTTAGGTCCTAAAGGAACCACAAAGAACTTTCTCATAACCTCACTTTCACAGGCACCCAATGCCTATCCAATAAGTGATGGTAAAAACGGTTTAACTTTGAACTCTAATGCCACTGAAACGAAATCCAGATTTAAGCTCAAAAGATGAGCAAAGGACTACACAATCAGTATTCAAAGTATGGACATTTTATCCAAACGCATCTAAATGTACTCTTTTTATTAAATGTACTCACTTTGGTATCACATGCAGTTTATTACCTTCAAGTAAATGAAAAGGAATTCTATCAACATTCTTTGCATCATTATAAAGCTTTAAACACAAACTTCAGTATTCTATTCTATTCTGTTCATGTCACCATTCTGCAAAACCATGCATAAGCTAATCAAAAACAAAACAAAACAAAAAACTGACAGCTCAGCCTTCCAAAATATGCACTTATCAACCCCCAGCATTTACTTGCAAGTGCAAGGGAGTAACAGCCATTTACAGCTTTAGACAGGAAAAGCACAACCAGCCTTACTGTACTACTACCACTAAATTTCTTAGAGAAAGAAAAAATAACTCGGGATCGGCAAATTAAAACCATTCTACACATGGCAAAAATAAAAACGTCTAATGTCCTCCAATCCATAGCAAAAGCACGGCTTCCTCAATTTCCGAGCCAATACCAATAAGCCAATGGATACAAGTGTCAAATCCACTGTCTGTTAGAAAGTAGAAGAAAACCTGGAAAAATTCCCTCCCATAAATCATGCACTGAACACGAGGCTTTGCACCCAACACAAAATATACAAACCAAAATACATCAGCCACCCCTAAATGCAGAAAAAGCCATAATCAACAAGTTGGAAAGAAGGCACAAAGTGTGCCTCACTTCCTTTTCCCCCACCTGAAAAAAAGTCTATTAACAAAAGGTAGCACCGATCTTCAAGTACCTGGTGGAGGTGCCTTTCCTCACATCGCAGATGCTGCATTTAAAGGCTTCGGCGCTGTTCCTGAAGGTGCAGACGCTACAATCCCAAAAGCCTTCGTCTGCCGCAGGTTTCGCTTGTCTTTTTGGCCTTCGGAGGAGTGGGGAGTGGGAGAAAGGGGAGGGAACAGACAGGGAACAGGAAAAAGGGGGGAGAGACAGCAAAACACAGGCGCTGGTGAGCCGTCGTAATTTCGCCGAAATCGTGCTGGAAACTTCGCTCGGGCGACCACCCACCTACCCTCTTCGGGGGCTGGAAGAGGGAACGGGGCAGGAAACTGGGCTCCCCCACCGGCACCCGGGGCCGGGCCGGACTGCCTCGCACACCAGGCGACGGCGACGGCGGCGGCGGCGGCGCCCCCGGGAAGGGCCGCGGCGGGCGCAGGAAGCGGGCGGACTTGTGGACTTGAGCGTGGGGCTTGGGGGGGGCCGGGAGG